AAGCTCCACCTCTGATTACAGGGAACTGGGTCTAAAACTGGAACCGTCTGGTTGTGACCAGTTATTGTTGACGAAGAGTGAAGTCACTGACTGTCACCATCAGAGTTAGACTTTATTTAAAACCTGGAGACGAGGGGGGGGGGGGGGGGGGGGGGGGGCAGACTGTCCTCATTCATTTAGTTAAACCCAGTTTCTATTGTTTACGTCTTTGATCGAGAAACACAAAGAAAACCACAGGAAACTTTTGTTGCCGTTGCTGCAGGATGTGGTTGATTTTTTAAAATCTCTTCTAAATTTAAAAATGCTAAAGAATCAGGTTATCTTTAACTTTACTCTGTTTTTAGCTAAGGATAATCATAGATGTTCACGACCCTCTGGGCTAACCTTTAGCGCTCACGTTAGCTGAAGTCCACGTCACACAAATCTATGTTTCAGTTTTTGTTCCAGCTCCTTTTTTTGGCTTCTTTTTCTCAGCTGTTCGTCGTCTTCTGACTCAAATACTCGACCAACAACAAACGCCTCTCATCTCGTCTTCTACTCGACTCTACGAACCGTAGTCGTCGGCTGAGGGTCGTGAACTTTTCAGGTTGATTTACGAACATGAACGAAGAGCAAATATTGAGTTTTAGGTCAAAGTTGAAGGTAAGATGATACAGGTTTGACACCAGTGGATGGATGACATCATCAACGTGGGTTTATCACAGTTGATCCCTCGCTCTGCCCCGTCTGTCCTCGACCTGAAACATCACACACACACACACACACACGCACCACGTTGTGAGTGAGTCATTTTCTGGCAGACGGACGCATCGTTCCGTCCCAGCGTCCAGATCGGAGCGCGTGCAGGTTGGTCGGTTTCCCTCGGCTCAGCAGAAGCGTCTGGACGAGTTTCCTTCTTTCCACGAAAACCACATAAAAAACGATCCTCTAATGACGGAGCAGCCGGGAGCTGAGAACCAGGAGTTTGAGTCCAGGAGGGAGACGCCCCCTGCTGACACGCCGTGGCCCGGACAGCCTTCCAGCACCCGTGATTTATGAAGAACCGTTTTTTAAAAAAATGGTTCCATTGACCTTCAGTGTGACATCAGAAAAGCACACCTGACAGAAGTGGGATCAGTTCTGTCAGCTGCCTGTAGGGGGCCAGGTCCACTGCTGTAAAAATAACTAAAGGCTAACTGCGACTGTTGACAAAAACATTTACGATCAGTTTAAAAAACACTCTTCATGGTTTGAATCTTCATGGCATGAAGCACGGAAATAAAAGGCTAAAGGTTAGCCAGCGTGGCTACGTAAAACGTCCGTCATAGCATGAACACACACACACCGTGTGACGTCAGACTGAACTGGATTCTGCTGTGAGGTCTGGTGGATGGAGAACCACCGGTTTGGAACCATTAGACCACATCCTATACACAGTCATAAAAACAGTCCAGTCTTTAATTAAAAACCATTAAACATTGACTGAATCTTTTATGATGTTAGCGTGAGTTCAACGACACGGAACGTTCCAGCTTTAAACACCGACACCACTGATGGACGTGAAGACTGATGGACGTGAAGACTGATGGACGTGAAGACTGATGGACGTGAAGACTGATGGACGTGAAGACTGATGGACGTGAAGACTGATGGACGTGAAGACTGATGGACGTGAAGACTGATGGACGTGAAGACTGATGGACGTGAAGACTGATGGACGTGAAGACTGATGGACGTGAAGACTGATGGACGTGAAGACTGATGGACGTGAAGACTGATGGACTCCGTGTGTGTCTTACAGCATCTCTGCGTTAGCGATGGTGCATCTGGGCGTGATGATCCCAGATCAGTCCCGATTCTGGAATCTTCTCACCAGGAAACACGTTTCTGTAGAATTCTATAAATGACCAACGAACATTTGAGTTTGAACGTTCCCACACTGAGGAGAGACAGACTGTATCTCAGCAGGGGCGTTAGCCTAAGAGCTAAAGACAGCGAGCTAGGGCTAGTGCTAACACAACATGTTAATTCACCAGCCTGGATGAACAACAGGAGCTCAGCTGGAGTCTGGAGAGGAGGGAAACTACGGGTTCAAAAATGAAAAGAAACAAATCTTTTTTTAAAGTATTCTAACAAAGTCTTCAGGCCAGGACTCAGTTTTTCATCTACGTCTCAAGGACGAAGGACGAGAAGACAGATGGTCTGAAGGAGGACGTCTACGTCAACCATCACTCAACAGAGGAGGAGGTTCGGGACAACCATCGCTCAACCTTCTCCAAGGTTGTCCTGAGTTCTTCTCTTCCCAGAATCCTCAGCCAACACCACGGTCAGTGGAGTGACCAGAAGCGACAGACGCAGATCGAACAGCTGTTCCACAAACACCATCAATGTAAACACCGCGACGACGACGGTAGCACTGCCATTTGAGCTTCGAATGTGACGAAGAGGAAGTGCGTGAACGTCTGAGGCGACGCAAATGAAGACATCATATCCCGACATCACCTCGCTGCAGTCGGCAGTGAAGTTTGTCAACAATCTGACTTGGATGTTATAGAAATGTTTTATAAAACCTTTAGTCACCGTTAGCCTCAGATACATGTTTATATTTTCTGCTCTTGATAAAAACTTGTAGTATTTACACTGATACAGTATAAAAGTTTTACGTCAAATATTTGAACATGGTTGATTTAAAAGAGCGTGAACTGAGAAAACCTGAACCCAATCATGTTGTTGTTTGTCTTGAAGCCCCTCAGAGCCCCCCCCTCTTGCCCCCCCTTT